TTTTTTTTTTTTTTTTTTTTTTGAGACGAAGTCTCACTCTGTCCCCCAAACTGGAGTGCAATGGCTCGGTCTTGGCTCACTGCAACCTCTGCCTCCCGGGTTCAAGAGATTATCTTGCCTCAGCCTCCTGAGTAACTGGGACTATAGGCATGTGCCACCACACCCAGCTAATTGTTTTTGTATTTTTAGTAGAGATGCGGTTTTGCCATGTTGGCCAGGCTGGTCTCGAACTCCTGACCTCATGATCTGCCCACCTCTACCTCCCAGAATGCTGAGATTACAGGTGTGAGCCACTGAGCCCAGCCAATTTTTGTATTTTTTGTAGAGATGGGGTTTCACCATGTTGCCCAGGCAGGTCTCAAACCCTGGGCTCAAGCAATCCTCCTGCCTCAGTCTCCCAAAGTGTTGGGATTACAGGCGTGAGCCACTGCTCCCAGCTGCATGTCAGAATGTCAGAATTTCCTCTCCTTTCTTTTTTTTTTTTTTTTTTTGAGACAGGATCTCACTCTGTTGCATATCTCACTTTAACCTCCAGGTACAGAGCTCCAACTCTAGGACTCAAGTGATTCTCCCTCCTCAGTCTCCCTATATTGCTCAGGCTGGTCTCAAACTCCTGGCCTCCAGCAATCATCCTGTCCCTGCCTCCCAAAGCTCTGGGATTACAGGCATGAGCCACTGCAAAAGGCTTTATTCCTTTATAAGGCTGATAACAGTCCACTGTATGTATCTACTACATCCTGTCTTCTGTTCATCAGTTGATGGACACTTGGATAGTTTCCACCTTTTAGCTATTGTGAATAATGCTGCTATGAACCCTGTGTATGGATATCTGTTTGAGTCCCTGCTTTCAATTTTTTGCAGTATATACCCAGAGCTGGAGTTGTTGGATCATATGATAAGTCTATATTTAATTATTGAACTCATCATAGTTTAAGACGAACAATAAGAAACAAAATTTCTCTGAGTTATCCATGCTCAAACCCATAGTCAAACTGATTCAAAACCAGTAACCTCCTTGGAGTCCAGAAGCTTAGCAGTGATCAGACATGGAATGTTCCAGAAGTAGCCACAAAGGAAACTGTTCCAGTGGCTGTGGGGAAGTTTTGCCTTGAGATGAGCAATCAGTGCCTGGTGAATTTAATAAATAGAGAAAGTCAAAGCATTGGAAGGGCATCTCCACTCTCCAGCTTAATTAAAAAAAGAAGAAGAAGAGATAAGAAAAAAGGCATAAACCAGAAAGTAAAAGCTCAGATGTATTAGAAAAGGCATCTCCAAACCAGTTTTAAGATGTTGGAGGCTGGATCACTCAGGACTTAGAGCTTATGGCAGGTCTGGGCAAGTAAGGGGCTCAGTGAACCACCTGGTAATGTAGGAGCGGGACCGGTAACTGTCAGGTCTCCGTATGCAAGCCTGGAGCCTGAAAGTCTGAAGTCCTGCCTGCCTCGGCTGATCTGATTGGGCTGATTGGCTGATCGTCTCCCACCCACCGCCTGCAGTTCACCATTGTCCCTGATCTCCCAGCGGAGCTTCCTGGGACAAGCCCTTCACCCAACCCTGCCATCTTAACTGTTCTTATGATAATGTGAACACCTCTCACCCATCTGCCATCTTAACTGCCTTACCCCCACCCGCCATCGTAACTGAACTTGTGGTCATGTATGCTCCTTGCGCCTACCCCCACCACTGTAACTGATCTTACTCTGCAACACCCCTGACCCCCAAAAGACTACCCCAACCTATAAAGCCAATTCCCACCTTACCCCCTTCGCCTGTCCTTTCTCAGATTCGGCCCACTTGCACCCAAGCGAGAAATAAAACAGCCTTGTTGCCCACACAAAGCCTGTTTGGAAGATCTCTTTATTAAATGTATTTAATATTCAGTACGATTGGATGCAAATAACAGTAAGAATGGAAGCAGGGGCAGGTTTGATCGCAAGAAGTTTCCAGGTGCAGTTTAGGTAAGTGGCGGTCTGTATTGTGTCTGAGTCGGAGACAGATCAAATATTTCAAGAGTCTGTAAAACACCATGGTTGGAGTAAGGAAGGTTACACACAGAGGATCTGCTCCAAAGGGCTTAGGCTTAAAGAGTGCTGGACAAATGCTAATTTTTATGGTAGTTATTAATGCAATTTACCCAGTTTCCAGGACTCCACTCTCCTTCCACCTAATCTATCCTACACACCCCTGCCAGACAAATCTTTTAAAATCACCACTTGGGACACAACATCTCATAGCTCAAGCTCTTTCAGGGCTTTGATTGACTGACTGATTGAGACACAGTCTTGCCCCGGCAGGAGTGCAGTGGCTCAATCTTGGCTTACTGCAACTTCCACCTCCTGGGTTCAAGTGATTCACAGGCCCCAGCCTCCAGAGTAGCTGGGATTACAAGCACCAGCCACCATACCCAGCTAATTTTTGTATTTTTAGCAGGGACAGGGTTTTACCATGTTTGGCCAGGCTTGTCTCGAACTTTGGCCTCAAGCTATCTCCCAAAGTGCTAGAATTAGAGGAATGAGCCACATACTGCTGGCCCCTTTATTTATAATCATTGCCTCGAAAACTGGGATAAGAGTAGCTCCAAGGCCACTGACCTGAGGGGCAGGTAGCTCCAAGATAACAACAGGGCAGTTCCTGTAAAATGTTTAGGGACAAGCATTTTCCATCAAAACAAACATGAGGATATTAAAGAATATGTCAACCCAATATATCTGAGGCTGGTCTCAGTAAATTTAGAAAGTTTATTTTGCCAAGGTTAAGGATGTGCCAATAATGGGAAGTCCTGATATGTGCCCAAGATGATTGGGGGGAACAGTTTGCTTTTATACATTTTAGGCAGACACGAGATATCAATCAATATATGTAAGATGTACATTGGTTTGGTTTTGTAAGACAGGACAACATGAAGTGGGAGCTTCCAGGTTAGAAGCAGATAAGAGACAAAAGGTTGCATTCTTTTGAGTCCTGGATCAGCTTTCCACTGAATAATTTAATCTGGCTCAGTGAATCTGTATTTTTACACAAACAATAGGGAAGAGGGAGCAATCCGATATTCTTTTGTCTCAGGTGAGCCTCAGAGGGATGGCTTTGAGTTCTGTCTGTCCTTTGTCCACAAGGACTTCCTGTAGGCAAATTGTGAGGGAGGTATGTAGCTTCTTAACTTTGTAGCTATCTTATTGAGGAGTAGAATGGGAGGCAGGTTTGCCTGACATGGTTCCCAGCTTGACTTTTCTCCTGGTTTAGTGATTTTGGGGCCCCAAGATTTATTTTCCTTTCACAAATACTATAAAGGCGCTTGCTATGGACTGCTGCATCTTTGCCCCCAGACACACTATACTGTACTTCAAGAAGTTTACATCCTCAGGAATTGAGGCACCACCTTGTTAGAGTTTGGAAGGAGGTGACAAATAAAGGTTAACTAACATCCAAACTCCTTAAGCTGGGCAGTTAGGACAGTTTTCCACTGGGCCCTCCAAGCCATTCTCCCACCTGGTCCCTGACCTGCAAAGGTGAGACCCCTTTATTCTTTAGCCCTTACTGCTTCAGTTTTTGCCAAGCCATGCTGCACTTTTGAACAAGGCATCCCAGCTGTCACTTCCTCCAGTAGTTAACCCTTCTGTCCCTCTGTTTCCTCAACTGGATAACAGTAGGGTTTGTAGGGGGGATGAAATAAGTTAATATGGGTAAAGCACTTAAAACAGCACCTGGCTGGCAGCGAGCTCTCTGTACTTCGTAGGTATTCTGTAATCTTCCCCTACCTTCTCTCTCTCTGGACTATAAACCACTTGCTGTAGCCAAGCCAAGCCCAAGGGATCCTTTGCAGCACCAGCTCAGGAAGACCCACCCCACTCCTTATTGGCCAATTCAGACCCAGCTCATATGTAAATGGTAAGATGAAAGCCTGAGGACATACTTTTGAGCCTGTTTGATCACGGAAACTGACACGTTATCAGTAAGGAAAACGAAGTATAGCGGCATATTGGCCAGTCTCAAACCCTTGAAAGGTGCAAATGTTAAAAAGTGAAAAGGGGCTGGGCGAGGTGGCTCACGCCTATCACCTCAGCACTTTTGGAGGCAGACACAGGAAGACTGCTTGGACCCAGGAGTTCGAGATCAGCCTGGGCAACACGACGAGACCCCCATCTCTACAAAACATGTAAAAATTGTCCGGGTGTGGTGGTGCTCGCCTGTAGTCCCAGATACTCAGGAGGCTAAGGCAGAGGTTCCCTTGAGCCCAGAAGTCCAGGCTGCAGTGAGCCGAGATTGGGCCATTGCACCCCAGCCTGAGTGAGAGCGAGATGCCGTTAAAAAAAAAAAAAGAAAAAGGTGAAACGTAGGTTTTACCTGTGCCTCCACGCCCCACTGTACCCTCCCTTGCCCATCCAGAAGTCGCCTTGCGGTTCCACGCACGGGCGTCTACGTCCCACCTCGGGCGAGGGCCGCCGTCCGTGCGGCTTTGGGAGGAGGAGTGGCCCCGGCCCGACCCGAGTACCTGCTCTCCCCCTCGCAGTCTAGCAACCGTCTTTGGCCCAAGTAATCTCGGCTCGCCTAATGCGGCGTGCCCCGCCCCTTCCCGTGGCGACGGGCGGCTAAGCAACCGGATCGGGCTCTACTCAGTGTTTTCGAGCTCCCCACGCCCCCAGTGAGCCGCAAGCGACTTCCACCTGGGCCAGTCCGGCCTCCGCGTCCCGGGCCGGTCCCCGCACAGGGCGGAGCTGGCCCGGCCCGGAGCTCGCCCCGCCCCGCCTCGCCGTAAGCTGACCGTGTGGCGGCCGGGCGGGGGCCTGGCAGGGGAGAGAAGGGGAGGAGAAAGGAGAGGAGGAAAGTGGAGCCTGGCGGGCCGGAGGGAGGAAAGGAAGGGGCGGAGGCGAAGCGCAGAGTGTGCCGGCGCGCGGGGGAGCCTCGGCGCGGGGCGCGTCTAGGAGCCCAAGTCGCGGCCGCGGAGCCGAGCCAGCCCCTCCCTGCCCGGAGCCGCCCGCCGGGGCCGTCCCGAGCGGCGACACCCCAGGCGTCCCGGCCCGCCAGCCAGGGCAGCCGAGGCCCCGGGACTCGGCCGTGAGCGCTGCAGGAGGGATGGTGGCGGCGGGGCGCGGGCCAGTGCGGGCGCCGTGAGCCGGAGCTGCGCGCGGGGCATGCGGCTGCGGCCCCCGGCCCTCGGCCCCCGCGCTCCGGCCCCCGCCCCGGCCCCGGCCGCCCGCCCCCGCGGAGTGCAGCGCCCGCGCCGCCGCTGAGGCAGGCGCCCCACCATGCCGCGGGCCCCGGCGCCGCTGTACGCCTGCCTCCTGGGGCTCTGCGCGCTCCTGCCCCGGCTCGCAGGTAAGCCGCGCCGCCCGCGGAGCCCAAAGAAACTTTGTCGCGCACACAGCAGCGGGCGGGCGTCTCTGAGGGGCGGGGAGCGCAGGCGGTGCCGGAGGGCGGAGGGCGCCCTCGGGGCATTCCCTGGTGGGCCAGTCGCTCGGGGACAGCCCCGCGGGGCTCTCCCGAACTGCGTGCGCCACCCCCCGCGCGCAGCCCCGCCGGGCTGTCGGGAGTCGCCTGTCCCCTCCCGGGCTGAGGAGGAGCTTCCCTTCCTGTGTAAACAGCCTGGCCGGTCTGCTGACCTAGCCCGCCAGCGCCCGCGCCCAGGGCACGGGGAGGACCGCCACCAGCCCTGACTTAGGGCCCGGGCTCTCCGTTCGCGGGCACAAAGCGACCCTTGTGGCCGGCCGGGGACAGGCGGGCTGCCGGGGAGGGGCGGGGGAGGGGATGCTGCTGGTGCCCGGTTCCCGGGGAAGCAAGGGAGGCTCGAAGCCCCCGCCAAAGCCCGGGCCACCTCCGCTCCGGAGGGCTCGTCGCCTGAAACGCGGGGGCACAGGGCCCAGTTCGAATCCTGGAGTTCGCTGCGCCTAGACCAGCCCCCTCCCCGCCTGCTTCCTCCTCACCCTCACCCACGCCACCGCAAACCCAAGGGGGGACCAGCGTTCCAAACCACTGCCCCACCTGGGACTTTATCATATTCCTTCTGCCCGACTTTCTCCCGCGATTTGCACACACCCCGAGCCTCACGCTCCCCTAAGTGTGGTGGATTCTGGAGCAGAGGTCAGGGGCTGTGGAGATTGCCTTAGCCCGACGCTGCCGTGGGCTGGCGTCTGTGCGAGGATCCCTCGGTTACCTGCTCTTAGTTTTCGGAGTTGGGAGAGGACCAGACGTGGCAGTTCGGAGGCCCTCGAGGAAGGATGCACTTGTTTGGGATGCGGACTTTCTCCTTTCCTTTAGGAAATAAGAGTGCTCTATTCACTTTCCAGCCGGAGATACTCGATTGCTCTTGTGAGCCAAGTGGTTGCTTGGCTGCCCGAGGGGAGGAATGTTGCCCCAGGCTGTCTCATTTACTTGAAGGCAGTGGAAGTTTAGGTTTAATAGTGGAGGAGGGGTCTGAGTAAACAAAAAATTCGTTCAGACCCTAATTAAAACGTAATATTGTAGCGAGGTTTTTGTTTTTTGTTTTAAATGGGAAAATAATAACTCCAGAGCTTGGAGTAGATGCGTGGATTCCAAACACCCATCCGGCAGCCAGTGCCCATCATGGATATTTTCATGGGTCCCTAGGGAAAGCGAAGAGAAGGGAGAAGTATCCCGCATCACACAGGAATGTATTGTTGTCAACACTCCCCTGCTCCACAAGGACTTTCCTTTAGTTTGAAAGTAGGCACTTTTTCTTTTTTGGGGGGAAAATGTTCCTTTAATACTTTTTAGTGATAATAGACAGATTTTAATTTTGGCAAAATAAGAAAATCTGGCAATCCTATGTTAAGCTCCCCTTCTCTTTTTCTGCTTCTTTTGTTTTGTTTTTAAATCTTAGTTTTCTTTGAAAATCAGAAGTTTAGAAACTGCCAAAGGAGATGGCTTCTAAGTTACTCTCCAGCTTGATATTCTGTAATTCTGATAAACAGAATTATAATAATTTCCAGTTGCAAATTTTTTTTTTTTTTTTGAGTCAGAGTTTCACTCTGGTAGCCCAGTCTGTAGTGCATTGGTGCCATCTCGGCTCACTGCAACCTCCACCTCTCAGGTTCAAGCGATTCTCCTGCCTTAGTCTCTGGAGTAGCAGGGATTACAGGCACCACCACCATGCCTGGCTAATTTTTGTATTTTTAGTAAAGTCAGGGTTTTACCAGTTTGGCCCGGCAGGTCTTGAACTCCTGGCTTCAGGTGATCTGCCTGCCTTGGTCCCCCAAAGTGCTGGGATTAAAAGCATGAGCCACCATGCCAGGCTGCAAATAATTTTTAAAAATACATTATTTTCCACTTGCTTCATGCTTTCTCTTTTTCAAAGTTCACATCTTCACAGTGATGTCCATTTTCTCACCTGGACTCAGGAAGGAAGTGACCTTGCCCTTCCCCTGTACTTGGATCAGGAGTGGTGAACCAGGGACAATGTTGGTCCAGTACCCTTTGTCCTACCTGACTCAGCTTGGGGAGGAGAAAAGCACTGAGCATGGTGGTTCATTTGCACTCTTTCGGGTTCTCTTTTCCCGTTGCTCATCTCTCTTTTATTTTTTTATTTTTTTTATTTTTTGAGACGGAGTTTTGCTCTTGTTGCCCAAGCTGGAGTGCAATGGCGCCATCTCAGCTCACCGCAACCTCTGTCTCCCAGATTCAAGTGATTCTTCTGCCTCAGCCTCCTGAGTCGTTGGGATTACAGGCATGCGCCACCACACCCGGTTAATTTTGTATTTTTAGAAGAGACTACCTTTATTCATGTTAGTCAGGCTGGTCTCAAACTCAGGTGACCCGCCTGCCTTGGCCTCCCGAAGTGCTGGGATTACAGGTGAGAGCCACCACATCCAGCCTCCGCCCATTTCTTTGACCACCGGTTTTGATGGTGGTGGTGGAGCAAGCCATGGCCTCCAGAACTTGCTGCTTACCTCTTAAGGCCCTGAAGCTTCTCAGGGTTAGCAGAGGCTGACTCACATCTGTGTGATTTCTCCTAGTTTCTCAGTGTTGCTGAATTAACTTCAACATTCTGGTATTTTTTTTTTTTTCTTCCCTCCGCTTCTTTTCTCCTTGAAGCACTACAGGTACTTTATTCAGAGTGCGTTTCTGTCTTGCTACTAGGAACATGATTTGAAAGAAAAAAACTTACTGAGAAAAGAAAGGTGACCCTCAAGGCCATGCCTGCCTTGGTGTCCCTGGACCAGTGGCTGAGTGGCTTTCTCTGTTACTCTAACCACCCTTTCATCTCAGTATGGATTTCCAACAGGAAACTGACCTTAGGTTTCAGGGACTCATTTCAAACAAGTCCCTGGCCGGCTGACAACCCCTTCCCGACCTCACCAAGTGTTATCTCCTGCTCTCTCTATTAACTTATGGCCAAGAGACTGCAGACCGAACCCTAGGACATGGTCATCCCACAAAACCAGGGCTCTCACTGAGGTGAGGCTTTTCCACGCTGCCTTTGCTAAGACAGAGAGGAGCACCGTCTTGATTCTGCAACACCACTGGAATTATGTGTGCTGTCACATTCATTTCTTTTTAAAAAGCAATCAAATGTTCTTCTAGTGAATGCTCTGCACATCCTAAGAAAGCTCTTTGTTTTATTTAGTGGACTCTTGTTGGCAGCACCCTTCCCCTCCCCCTCACCCCCTACCACATTTCCTGTGGTCTGTGATGGGGTTGTTGGAATCTGGCTGTGTCTGCAGCTCTCTGTAGGTAACCACGCACTGGTTTAGAGCTGACAGGACAATGAAATGCAAACAGCGCGTCATTGGTCTGCAGACTGCTGTTTATCCTATGGATTTACATTTTAACTCCATCATCCTTGAGTTGGGGGAGCTTTTTATAAAGGGGATTGAGGCAGAAGAGGGCAGGGCCTAATTAGCTCTAATTAGTATTCCCCGCCTGCTTGTTCTCCATGCTTATTTAGCTACTGAGGCAACGGGGAATTAAAATATCTAAGTAGTTTGGCAAAAGGCCCTTTGTGCCTGTGTGCCCTGGTAACTACTTTTTCTTCTTCAGCCTGGCCATGGAAATATTCTGAGATGCTTTAACGATATCAGTAATGTAGAACAATTACATGCTACTTAATAATAGGGCCCCTTTCACATGGCAGTGTGCAGCTGGGTTAATGGGATAGGGTCTCTTTTCACAGGTATTTCCAGTTGGCCGGAGCTGAGGGCCTTGGAGAGCTGACTGCCATGGTTTGTTTTCCTTCTTTCCGGTTGGAATGGGATTAATGGCCTCTATAAATGTAAAGGAACGCTTTATTTAGAGGCGTCCATTTGTTTCTGAGCTTCTTGCTTCCGTTGAATGCAGGGTTTGCTTCCCGGGGCCGCTTGGTGGAAAGTTTGTTCCAAGACAGGCTTGATTCATCCCCTAAGGCTGATGCTTTGAAGGCACTGCAGGGTAGCCTGCCCTCTCTTTAAGGGATTCCCTCCCCAACTCCAGCCAGACGTTTTCAGAGCTAGTTGTCTCTTGCAGAGCTGGGATCTACTTCTGCAACTTGTTCCCTTTAGCTACTCTCAGCTCCCACTCAGAGTGATCCTGAGATCCAACTCAAGTCGGATCATGTCTCTCTGCTTAAAACCTTCGAATGGCTTCCCAGAGTCCTGCCAGGCTCCATGAACTCTCCCCCGACTTCCATGACCTTCCTTCCATGCATCCCAGAAAGTTTCCTTCACCACTTTCCCTTCGCATCCTTTGCTCTAGCAGCATGGGCCTCCCACTGTCCTTACAGCATGCCAGCCATGCTCCCACTGCAGCCCTTCTCCCTGCCTGGAATACTCTCCAAGATAGCTGCATGACTGGCTTCCTCCACCTTGCAAACCTTTTCTTAGCGTCTCCTGCTCAGCCAAGTTTTCTCTGGCCACTCCCAGCTACAGCTGCAGCCTCTTCCCTATATCCCACGTTCCTTTTATCTCTTTTCCTCCTTTAATTAGGTGCATCACCACCTAATGTAACTACATGTCTTATTCACTGTCTATTTCTCCTAAGTAGAATTCTCCCTGAGCCAGGATGTGAGCTCAGTGAATAAGGGAGTCTTGTTAGGTTTATTCACCTCTGTATCCTCCACTCCTAGAACAGTGCCAGACACATATTTGTTGAATGAATAACGGATGAACCTGAGTCTGGTAATTGGGAGGTGAAGACGGGATGCATCCCATCCTCAATTCCCTGTTGCCTTCTACAGCTAGCATTGAAGTCAGGGACTATGAATGTGGCATCTTAGGAAGAAACATCCTGGGAAAAAGAAATTCTGTCAGAATATGTCAGGATTTTTTCTTGTTTTTGATGGAGTCTCGGTCTGTCGCCCAGGTTGGAGTGCATTGGGGCGATTTCTG